AACGAGAAATATTTCAGTCTTGAAATTCAATAAAATCAAATTTAATATAAATTTTCCAAATACACCTAATGGAGGTCCTTAAATAATTGCTATTTGAAAACACATTAATTTGTCAAATATTTGATATTTTTTTTGGCATGAAAATTAATTTTTGATTTTATATATATATAATAATAAGAGAGAGAGAGAGAGAGAGAGAGAGAGAGATATTTTCTAAATTAAAGATGTAGAATTTCAACCAATAGAATGGTTGCACACAAAAAACTTCATCAAGTTAGCTACAAGTTTGAAGGTAAACTTCATTCCTCAATCCAAATTTTAAGATGGCTTCAATTAAGAATTAGTTATAATTGGTGGTATAAAGTCAAGAAAGAAAATAACAATAACTTAAGATAAAAACATAAAATAAATAGAATAAATAAAATCAAGCAATTATACAATTTAGAACTTGGTCATGGTCTATTTACTCAGTTTTTATCTAATAAAAATTTAAAAATAAAAGTTAAATCTATTTTTAGAAATTTAATTTTTTTATCTTTTTAATGATATAAAAAATATAAAAATCTATATTATTATAAGTAAGTTATGAAAGTTTAAAAACAATAAGTAAATAAATAAAAAATTTAATAAATATATTTTATTTCAATGATAACTTGTTTATAGATCAAGGATTTGAGCCTCACCAAGGCTCATATATAGTGTATATGGGTCTCTAAGAGATGTTAAAATGCCTTAGTCTTATCCTCCTAACTACTTATATGTTGCTACAATCCCTATGGAATTTGTATACCTCTTTTTTTATAAGGACTATATTAGTTGCTAGTCTTCCTATTTTCTACTAGTAGTTCCAATATTTTTTTTATTTTTGACTACACCATAGTGTTCAAAAATACCCAATTAGCTGAAAGCCTTGCGTGGCCTTCAAATCTTACTTCATTTTTTCATAATGGCTCCCAAAGTAGTAAAACTTATTTTTATAAAAGTTTTAAAAATTACTCTAAAACTTCTAAATAAATTCTAAAAATTATTAAAATAATTCAATAATACTAATATAAATTTAAACCTATAATTTTATATCTTTATAATTTTTTATAATAATAAAATTAATTTAAATCCACTATAAATCTTACCTTCTATATAACTAATTAAAACAATATGAGATTATTTTTTATGCTTCTTTTAACTATCAGCTAACGTTTATAGTTTTTTCATAAATAATACATATAGATAGAAGGCCAATTTAAATATTTATCTTAATAAATAATCCTTAATATTTAATAATAAATAAAAATACTAATTCAACTAAGTTAATTGCCTCCAAGACTTACTAAGACTATATTTCTACAATAAGCAATCTAATTTTCTATTTGTCTAAGGATTTTTATACTATTTATCATATATTATGATTTGAAGTATTCTAAATTTAGCTTTTTGTCTTAAAACAACTAATGAATTAATTTGATGACTCACAACAACCTCACATATAACAACCATATAATGTATATTACTTAAACAGACTATCTTTCAAAACCCTCCTTATCAGATTCTTCTAAAAGCAAATTCACCACCACAAGTATTAATATTATATGTCATACGAAAAAATGGTCAAAAGAAAGTAGTATTCTAAAGTCTATATTATCCTACAATTAAAAAAAATCAAATCCATTAATGACCAACTATAATTGCTACCACAAGGTAATTACTACTATATTAGAATCATTTGAACAATGAAAGATAATTGTAATATATTATCATATAATTCAAAAATCATTACTAAAGATAAAATATTATGGTTCTTCAGTATAATTTTTATTCATCAATTGAGGTGGGATCCTAAGAACTAGAAATGGGCGACATTGGAATGCCTTGAATCTTACAACTACTTTCAATATACAATTGAGTGTAGCTATTGTAAGGCTCTTAGAAAAACAAGAAAAAAAATATAAGGTCTCAAAGTTTTGGAAGTATTAATTTACTCATCTAAACAACGAAGATTGCTTATTTAATAGATTTTTCATCCATTGATATCTCGTAAGATAGCAGCAATACAACAACTACATCTTATAAAGGGCTTATTAATTGGAGAATAGAAAGCTAAAACTTTATCAGTAAGTACATGCAGACTTTATTACTTCAAAGCAACAATAAAAAGTAAAAATGCTTTATTTAATTACTTAATAATTGCACCTACATGGAAGTTGTTTAAAACACTTAAATTCCATAATTATCTTTTATATGACTAGTCACAATGGAACAATATCTAATTTGGTATACTGAACCTACTTGGTAGTATAAATATTGTCCAAACATCTTTAAAGGATGCAAGAGCCGAAATACAAGTTAATAATAATACACTATGAGATATACTACGAGCTAGTATAAACTGAAATATTTTACATAGCTTTTACAAAATCATCACAAAATCTATTTTTAAATATCTTGCATGTTTTAAATCTTCTTGAAGTCTTGTCTATATTTCCACTTTCTAATCAATAAAAATTCTTAGAATTTATATAAACATTTGATTTGGTATCTCAAAGTTTGGTTTTGATCCTAGTCTATAAAAAATCCTCCACGGATATTAATTTAAGTTTTTTGTTTGATTAACTTTACTAGAAACATCTTTTAACCACCACCTCAAGGTGTGTATAATATGTTTTTGTCTAATCTATCTTGAGTTGCTTTGTTTATGGCCCTATAAAGTAAGTAGAAGATTTTTGACAAAAAAAGTAACATAGACATTAAACTTTCTACTTCATCTTATATATTTCTTATGAGGTCTAAAGAAATTTTCTATCAAATCTTTAATTAAGTCCTTTAAAACCATTAGTCTTTATTTATTCTTTCAATCAATAGCCAAATTACAATACAACAATGTGACATATCTATAAATGTCTAAATACTAAGACTGTTTAAGAAATTATTTCAAAGCCTTTTAAAAAAGATATATATATTTTTTTTAACATGTTTCTACTTATTTCTACTTACTTCTAATGACTTATATGTACTTCTATATATTTTAGTAATATGGACAACTTTTAGGCTTAAATTACATAAGACAATGTACTTATTCTATAGAGCATGTGATCATTGCTAGAAAATATGGAACATGGCTGAAATAAGCCTTACACCACTTGTGACAATATGGTATGCAAAACTATTTATAAAACTTGTAATTGACTTTATTAGACTCAATAAATTAGAAATGTGTTGTATAAACAATTAATATATATATATATGTATATATATATATATTGGTAGCCACAAAATATACTATTGAACAGGTTAAAAACAAATGCAATAAAAACAACACACATTAATAGTTGTTGCTTGCATCTTGTACAAGCACATATTTAATTTGGATATAATTTCCTTTCAGTGAGTAATCAAGGTACTTTTTTCATGAATAAAGTTTTTGATTCATGTAGAGAACTTTAAGTTGTTTTGATTTTTCAAATTGGGTTCAACTACCATTTAAAAAATAAAATAAAATAAAAATAAGAAAAGAATCTAAGTACCAAATCTGGTTCAGTAAAAGTCAGAAGACAATGAATAGGCTTGGGATTTGTTGGTAAAAAATATAATAACTTTCTTGTTAAAGAAAGGAAAGGAAGCAGTGTATAGCATTTGGATATAATAATAATAATAATAAAAATAATAATGTATGAGAACAATTGATATCTTTGCAGGGCTTGGGAGGGAAGGTTTATGGTGGAGCCCATCATCCAGTTTGTCCAAAAACTTGGTGCATGGGGAATCACATTATGTCTCATTCCTGAGTAATAGAGTCACTGAAATTACAATGAAAGGTGGATAGGGCATTGGGTGGATGGAAGAGGGTGTGGGGAAGTGGGAGAAGCGTGAAAGTCTTCGAGACTCCATGTGGGGGGTGGGAGTGTCGAAGTGCAAGACCTTTCGGGTTGATGACCGAAAGGAGAGTCCAAACGGGAGTGTGGAGAGAGGATCAGATAGAAACAGAGAAAAGAAGAGGTTTGGAGAGAGTAAAAGTTGGAGGTGGGGGAGTGTGTTAAGTGTGGCTGCTGGGATTCGAGCCCAGGTCTCCACGGCCACAACGTGGAATTCTCACCACTAAACTACAGCCACTGCGTCCCCTCAATCTAGATCTTCGTGAGTGTCCCCACACAACCTCCTCACCCTACCCCCGGAGGCCCCACCGAGATTCGAACTCGGGTTTTTGGATTCAAAGTCCAAAGTCGTAACCACTGGACTATGGAGCCGCGGATTCGGGCCTTCATGCCTGCTCTCACGTGGCTCATTCCAACCATACCCACAACCACCCCCATCTGTTACACCGCCCCACCCAGTTCCCTTGTCGCTCTCATTACCATCTCGCTCATCACCCCCATCGCTCATTACGATCTCATTACGATCTCATTACGATCTCATTACCGCGTGTGTTGCCTCCCAACTCCACTGCTCCTCTTCACAACCTCATCTGTTTCATGCTGCCAACATTGCTTTCTGCTTCAATCCCTTTCACCACCCAACCATACTTACGCCACGCATCCCTTTCACCACTTTCTCACGTGCTCTCACGTCTCGCTCCACACCAATCCCCGCCCACCTATTCCTCAAATTCGCCGCACCTTCCTACCATGCATCCACGGAACCCTTCCTGAAGTGATCTCGTTCATAATCGTAACGGAACCCCGCATTCATACCTCGAGACTCTGTAGCGGCGTTGTCTGCGTGGTCCTCGCCGTCGAAGCAATGGTATGCACTTTCTCTCAAGGCGCTCTTTGAATGTCCCTGGAGCAGAAAATCCCATGGCACATCCATCGCTCACATGCTCATGAAACTGGTGGGTGACTTCGTTGTTGCTTTTCCAGGTTGTGATCTAAAGACTCTTGATCGGACTGTGGTCAATTGTCAGAATTGGACCAAAATGCTCAAGGGACGGGATTCGCCACCACGAACTAGACGTACCCATCGAACTGAAGACATGCATTAGAAAAAGTATTCGAGACGAACCAGCGGAATTAAAGATCAACTCTTCACATTTATATTACACATCCGAACCATCACCCACACCGCGCGACCAATTACAAGCACGACATATTCTGTCGCCATCCTCTCCGATCGGCCGCAGTTCCCGAACCTCTGTTTACTCACCCACAACACCTCCAGGCTGCTACGAGCGCCCAATGTTTATGCCATATGTCGGCAGTATTGTGTATCAGGACTATCGCCTCTCACCAACGTTGTGTACATGTACCCGACCGCTCGTGCGAATGAGCTGTCGTTTACCGAAACCAAAAATGTGTCTGCCGTACTCTAAAGTAATCTAGCCTACTCACACACTTAGGTCTAACGTCCCAGCTGGACTTGCGATCATCTTCGCACCACACACTGGAACTTTTTGTATGCCCACCACTACTCGGAAGCTTTCTACTTTCCGCTCGCGATCAGTGATCGGATTCCCACAAATGACCTCGGCCTTCTAATCAGGCATTTATTGTGATGCTGTTCTTCGAAAGCACGTCTCCAGGGGTACACAGAAGCTTCGACTGCGCGGATGTTTTAGTGAGCACGACCACTGCAGGGTCCATTGGGCTCTGGAGCTACATCTCGATGACCATGCTCTGGTGCAGAAGAAAACTCTAACACTTTCTCAAACATTGGTGCCTTTCAGCCGTGATATTGCCTTGACCCGGACACAAGCTCACGGAGCGGGCTGAAGATCGAGGGAAGTTTGTACGCCCGTTTATCCTTGTGCAGCATACCGCCTGTACATGAAGAACGCACCCACATCAGCACAAACGTACCACACCCGTTCCAGTAGAATATGACGACACATTCTTCAAGTCATACCTACGATCGCATCAAAGATCGTACTCCCCGGACCACGATCACACTTCTGTCTTTCCAACTGAGCATTTCAACTAACCGAAATGCCCCAGCAAAACTGAACCAAACCAAAACCAATTGCTAGCGGCGTTTAAGGGCTCCAGGAAGGAATGATCATTCACCTATCCAGGAAACGTAACCCGCTGAAACGACCCAAAATAGCGCACTGCTCACGCAGCCGTTACTGCACATCGGAATCAAACGACTGCGTTAGGCCATAGACCAGATGGACGCGCAGAATGCTCTGCGCAACGAGGCTTTCGGCTTGCCATGTCCACACACCCAAAAGAAACACACAACTACAACTAAGAGAATAACACAAGATGCAATGAGTGGACATGAGGAACTTACATGTACATGCTGATTAGAATGCCCTCGCCGGCCAACGAGCATCCCCACGACGAACCCGTGAACCACATGAAATCCCTAATGAATAGTGCCCGAGGCAGTAACAACCCGTTGCCGATCATGGCCAGCAACACGGTCTGAGACGAAAGCCCCTTGATGTTGGCGGGGTTCACGTAGTTGGTCCACATTTGTGCAATAGGCCCCCACATGAAGAGGAGGGTGGCCGTCCACGCAGACACACCGCCCATGTACAAAAGCACCTTCTCCGAAAGCTTCCCCATCCGAGCCAGGACAACCAACGAAACCATTACAGTTCCCCACACCATCGATGGCAGCATGGAATGAGGCAACGCCGGCTCGAACGTTGACCACATAACCTGTGACCATCACGTTGTCAATTTCAGCTCGACAGTTCACATACAGTTCAAATGGCATGCACTTGCCTTCAAGCTTCCAAACCAAGGCGTCACATTTTCCATCCGCCTTTGTAACATCACCTCCACATTGTACTAAAAACACTTCGTCCTAACAAGGTACGCATTTGAATGGCGGAAAATACCACACCCTGAGATTGGGAACCCGACGATACCTGAGGAAGGACGGTGACACCACCGATTGTTACAGCTTCCTCCCACACCTGCCAGATGGAGGGTCTTAGGAGCCCCTGGTAGTTCAACAAGTTTAAGATATAACCTACGACCACTGCTGTCGCAGTCGCACCGAAGGCAGGGAGCGGCATTGCCCCGGCGATGGCCAGTTGCATCAGCACGATCAGAGTCGATGCCACGCCCACCGCTTGTACTATCATTGCACCCCTCTCCCTCTTTCCCGCGAAGTACGAAAGTAGCGACAGATTTCCCAGCAGCCCAGTCAATTGCCCCTGCAAATGAGACCACGGATCCGGCACGTCAGCATGTTCGCGGTCGTGAAAGTATCCGGAGTACCAGGGTCGCAAGCAAAAACTTCTCGCTTAGAATGAAAGACTGCGTTAATACTTACCATCCAAGGAACGGCAAAGAGCGCGGCGAAATCCCCTGTCATCAGATTTTTGGTATTCAGAATGATCTGAGGCAGCTGGAGGAACAAGAACGCTAGAGTTGCACACTCCGCCAAGCGCCCAGTTACGGTATTCAATCTAGTGTAATCCGCATCCTTCTCGTCAGCTGAGTTCTTCCAGTACTCCAATAGCACTTCGGGTTCCTTGTTGCTGAATGTGCCATACTCTCCTCCCTGAAACTCAATATCAGCTGCAGAGCGTCAGCATTCAATACAAATTAAGGACACGTGGCTGTTGTAGATCTACTGATAGACAAACTAACTGACTCACAAAAGCTAAAAATTAAAAAATAAATCAATCAATCGACGATCCCACGAGCTCAACATTGACCAATAGTAGCCCTCAATTCTAACGTAGAAAACTTGTTGCCCTGGCAATCTCGGAAAGCCTCATCCTGGGAGGAGCTCGTAGACTTTCGCATCCGGATCTCATCACCCACTCTCACACACACGTAAATACACACACACACACACGAAACCAATACACACTATCGTATGGATAGTGAGAGGGAGACAGAGACGCACAAGAACCACCAGGACGACCGCTAAATCATCAACCTAGTGCACCGACAGCATGCAAAATTGGAAATCAGGAATCCCGCTTAACTTTACAGAACAAGACTTCAAGTACAGACCAAACACAATAGTCTTCAGCTGTAGCTAAGACACGAAGAAAGACGAAGAGACTTGCAGGGATTGCGCATGCACGACGAACCATAACAAACAAATCAACATAGTACCCTGCAGTTTGAACACCCATCAACAATCCAGCACTGAAATTAAACTAACCTCCAAGTCCTTCGCGCCAATCACCAGAGACTGGGACTCGGGCGAAGAATCACCGACCAAACCATGAGGCACTGCAATGGAGGCCATGATCTCTCCTATCCTCCAAACAATCTCGCGGAATCAAACGGATCCGAGATATAGGACACGATCGAACCGCGCTCGACTCGCTTCACCCGCTAGCGCATGCACAGTCCAATTCACATCAGCCCAAATCTCCTCAGGCCACCATGATTGTAACGGTGGTAGAGATCCTTCTTCCGCCTCCGGAGCCCACCAACAAACCCACACCCTAAACCCCTCAACTACTACCGTTTCAACAACGTCGCACTGCTGTCTTGTACCCGCCACCTTTCGCAGGCTTCCGGAAACAGTTCAAAGAATGTATCGCATTCGTCGACGATCACTAGGAGAATCACTGTTAATATTTCCTTTGGTGTGGACGAAGGGTGAGCCGATCAACTGTCTCAACCGGAACGTGGAGAAGTGCCGCGACGATTAGTGTGGCGATGACGTAGAGGAGGAGCAGGGGGGGATAGGGACTAGAGAGAGGGGCAGTGCGTGAAGGAAGCACGGCGGAGATGTTGATGGGAGAAGGAGAGGGAGGGGAGGGAGGGAGGGACAAGTAGCGTTGGAGCAGCGGAGGGTCCTTATGATGAGGGAAGTATTGAGCAGAGCAGCCGAGGGGGTTGATGGAATGAATTGCTGCCCTATTCCGGCGAGGCTCCTAAATTATTCTCCTCCTCCAGCTGCTGCAGGGTGAAGCCAGAGTGGGGGAAAAAGGGGGGGGGGAGCTCATGCAAACTGGGCACAGCTTGCAGCGTTGTGGACCGTCCATGCAAGCCACGCAGGCTGATTCGTACTCCCCCCACCACCCCCGCGCTCACCCCGTTCGCCGCGCGTTTCAACCCTGCGCCGCTCAGATTCAATGCTCCCTGCTTCCCCTATTGTCGCGGTGCCTATGGGCTCAGTTGCCCGCTTTGCTGTTCGTTGGTGAAATCTTCCCCCTCCCGATACCCGAGCTCTGATACCCCTACTCTATCATACTCTTTCTCTTCACTTCACTTACGCTACACGTTGTTCGTATTTCTTTGGCCTCGGCAACGTGCTACATACAATGGCTTATCAGAGCCCCCGTTCTGCCTTCTGCTACGTACTAGCCACACACACACACACATATGAGAGCTCATGCTGGACAAATGATTTCTGCGCTTCTTACCTTAAGATTCCGTTTTTCTTTTCTTAGATATTTCGATGCTTTCCACTCTTTTTGTTGGCTATTCTTTTTCATGTGGATTTATCGGATGGAATATGCCACGATCGAGGTATATTTCACCTAAGTGGGTACTGCTTGTTATTTTTTTCAGTAACAGGCTAATTGAAGTATTGGTATCTTTTACATTTTACTTTGCTGAGGTTTTTCTGATGTCCCCTGCACGATTGTGATCATCTATTATTTATCATTAATCAGTTAGTCTAGTTGATAGAAGATTTCATGGTGAATTTCAGGTTTTGCATAATGTTGCAGCGTTTAATTATTGAAGTCACATGTACATGATCAGACATTGCATTCGTGGAGTTTGATTGTTGAAAAACTTCTTTTTTTCACCTTTAGAAGGTCCTATGTTATTTATTGCTAGTGGAGAAATTCATAGGTGCAACATGGTATATTATAATGATTGCATGTCCACCAGAATGACTGATTACGTTCGATTTTGTTTGAACTGTTCATCTATATTTATTTGTATAGAACCAATATTTCTGAATATAATTAAGGCTAAAAATTCCCTCCATTGATCTCATGAATTTCCTACATATTTGCCACGTGGCACGACGAATCATTCCCCAAGAGCCACTGTGCCCCAGGAATGGCGAGAAAGGGCATCATATAGCGCTTGTGCGAGAGCGTATTCTACATCGGAATGTCACGCCTGACGTCAGAAATTTCGCCACAATGAGCAGAAATGGGAGGTGATGGAGGAAGCGGTCGGGCGGAGCACGAGAGGCTGTAGTAGAACGGCATCTGCGAGGTCCATTCTCGTCCGTCGAAGCTCTGGGCGTCCGAAACTTCTGCGCCGGTGTGGTTCTCCCGCGCCGGAGACGTCAAAGTCCTTAGCCGGCTCCTCAGTTGTCGTGTTTCCATGATACTAGAGCACAGTTGCCTCACAGGAATTCGAACCTCTGCGGTCGCTAATGGCACGGATCAATTCTAATGGCAGCGCTGGAGCGGACCTCGGCGACGTAGAATCGATTGAGTCAACGACGAAGTCGACTTTGACGAGGAAGGTTTCGACGCGATGCGTGCTTCTGTTTGTGATTCTCTGGAGCTATGGTAAGGCGTGGCGCCGGGGAATCAGATCGGGTGCAAGGAATTGGCTTGCACATGGAAACATACCATGAACATAACATGAAAAATAATGCCTCTAGATTTTCTGTCAAAATCCTCATCAAAAAACATCGATTTTTTGTATAAATGAATTAGCTACATTAAAAATTGCAAAACCAAACCGTAGAAACATAAAATCTCCTGTTGAAAATATTTTTACATCTTAAATTTGTCAAAATCAACATTAGAATTTGGTATTTAGACTCTTAACAGAAAAATAATTTGATTACTTTTGGGGTCTTTTCTCACTATAAACTGTGTCTAAGTGTTAAGGCTTCTGACAGATAATTCCAATTCACCAAGGTCATGCTCTCTATGAAACTTATAGACTATAACATGTTGAAGTGTAAAGATCTCTAAGTTGAGCTTCCTAGTAGCTTTGCAATGGGTTGGAATGACACCATAAAACCAAAACCATCATTGCATTATCACCGATGCACAAATAGAGGAATGAATACTGGATGAAAAACTACTAGAACCATGCTCAGATTTTGGCAAGGACTCAGCAAGCGGAAAATCCACGTGGCAGAACCTTTTAAACGAGTACCAGGGTTACTACATTCGGCCATCAGACCACCAAAGCAGAAAGCATCTGAAGATATCTTGGATTTTCAAAACAGGCTGCGTTGGAGGCAGCTCCTGCAAAATGGAACTTTCCAAGTGGCGACATTATTCTGGATCCAAGTCACACCATAGGCTCTTTCAAAAAGACCACCATTTACTCACCCAAACACCTCAACCACAACCCACTTCCGCATTCATCAATTCAGCCATCAATCTATCCATCCACATATCCTTCCCAGCTCGAGGAAGTGTAAACCGTCCGTTAAGCTGCGTCTCGTCATGGGAAGGGCCATGGGGCTCAAAATCCAAGTATGGGAGGAGCAGTGGCGCTGATCGTCGGGCGACCAGTGGAATCAAACGCGAGAAAAATCTGAGCGTCTGGGTCAGGTCCAGCTGCCGCCGCTGCTCCCACACAATGCCCATAACCTTCAAATTCGCCGGTCAATATCGAACTGCGCGACGGCCACATGTGTACGACAAAGGACTGCAACGAAGGGCCTCTCGATATTTGAGAAGCATGCAATCATTTGTCGACTGGAGTCAAGACATCGCAGCCTCGAAGATGCTGCAGGAATGTGAAACCTATGGCGTTCCGGAGTCTCTCTCGAGGGATGGCGACTGCCACCATTGAGCACACTTGGATGGAAGCCGAAACGAACCCAGTGGGCTCCGTCGCTCCAGTGCTGTCGGCGGTATGCTGCGGACTCGCACCTTCGGATCCGCTACAAGACAAAGCCCGGGCAATCCTGGGTAATAAAAAAGATTCCACTCCCCCAAAGCGCTGTGGTGAGATTGTGGTGAGGTTGTTCCTCAGTTTCTCCGCCTCCTCTTCGTTGCGACTGTTCGAACAGGACATGTGAGTTGATATTCTCGCAAGCGGTCGAGTCGTATTCCAGTCTGATGTTGCTGGGATCTCCATTTCCTACCAGAAACGTCGTTGCTTGTCGACAATCACAGCTTCTGTGTGCTGGGACTCGTAGCTTCATGACCTGTCAATGCGATGCAGGTCCTCTACCAGATGCTCCTGTCCACGAGTTCTAGAGTTATTCATGACAGCCTCTGGAGCTTTCTCTTTCCTCAAACGCTTGATTCTCGACCACCGCTTCACATGTTTCAATCACATAGGACGTAAACAGTGCTGGTCAGACTAAATTGAAGTAACGCTTACAAGAAACACACAGATTTTGTCCCTGGTTGGTAGTCTTGGTCACAGAATAATCACCTGTTCTTTTTGTTCTCTGTCAGTGAAAGTTCATGTGATGGGCTGTCTTTAGGGTCAAACTATTGTCTGGCAATAGAGCAGTCATCGTGTTAAGTTTTAACGTTATCCTTGAATCATCACATGTGTGTTCCATCATTCTTACATCAAATTCGCTCAGACAGTGATCAAATTATTCGTTTTAGTATGTTAACTGTTTATGAACAAAAACAAACATGATGACTAATTTATTCCAAAAATCATACATAAAACTACACTAAGTGCAGAAATCTATATTTTTGAACTAACATTTTTGGATGCATATGTTTCTTTATATATATTTTTTAAAATGAACAGAATGTTAAAAAAAAATGCAAAAAAATGCAAAAAAATTTAAAACATATGCGTACATATGTACACACCATGCTCTTAGCTGATTTCATGTAATCTTTAAAATGCTTATTAAAAATCTTATCATCTGATCGTTTTAAATTGTATAAAAAAAAAAAAATAGATATACATATACAGGTAATATTATTCTGTAATGTTTTTCAGTGTTGGATATCATAAACAAGGCACTAAACAAGTGACAATCATTGAATACATGTTTTCAAAACAACAAAATAGATTAGTTGCAATTCTAATTATTTAAATTATACACATTACAAACATCATAATCACTTATTTAATCAAAGTATTTTTTATTAATTTTGTAAAATTATAAAAAAATCAAATAAATTTTATTCTAGATATATATATATATATATATATATATATATATATGAGGTATTGTTAATGCCACCACAATTTTTGTTAGTATCACCACAACTCCCATTCAACACATGCCACCTTTGATCAATATTTCTAAAACCATTTGAATGAACATAGTCTTTAATTGGAATAAAAGAATAAAAGAAATATGTTGAGTGAATGGAAAATTGTGGTGAACAACAAAAATTGTAATAGCATTAGCAATACCCAATAAATAAATAAATAAAATTATTTCTTTCATATTTATCTTAGGGGTTATTAATTATTATTTCTTGTTTTCATTTGCAGTTCATATTTTTTTAAATACTTAATATAACTTATTATTTTGAGATTTACTATGTATTTTGGCTATTTCTACCATTACAAGGTTCATCAAATTGACTCTATTATAGGATTGTACATAAAAAAATTAGATTCTATGTGATTTGTTTATTATAGTCGCAAATACACTACATAAACTCTAACCGTACTTGTTTTGTCTATTTGTTTGAAAAAGTAGTGACATGTAATTGATTAATTAGTTATGTATTTATGAGAGCAACGAGTGAGCAGCATGGCAACAACACTCGACAGCATGGGCGTAGTTATCATAATTTATGCTGCAAGCATGCATGCAAATTTCTGAAAATAAAGAATTGGGAATCAACATGATAATTATAAAACTACGAAAGACATGAGGTAACACCGAGATGAAAGAAATGAAGGTGCAAAAAGCCCCACCATCAAGGCGTAGACATTCCTCGAACAGCTCGAGTTTCCAGATGCTGAATCAGTCACACGTGCTGA